ATATATATATATATATATATATATATATATATATGCTAAAAAATTTCTTTTAGTTTTCACCATCTATTTATTATAGGACTAAAAGGTTAAACTCAAACTATAAAAAATAAAAAATAAAAATAAAAATCATATACATAAAGTAGTGGGTGATTATTAATCAACTAAAAAATAATTCAAAACTTGATTCAATAATTATCTCTTTAAATTTGACCTTTATGTACTAAATGATCTGAGTTTCATTTAAAAATTTAAGTTTGATAAATAAATAAATGAACTTGAGTTCTATATAATTAAGTTTGTTTAATTTATGAATTGACTTGACATATAAATATATAATTATTTATAAATTAATTTTTTATTTAAATCTAACTTATTAAAATTAGAAAAATTCAAAACTGAGTTATATATAAATCAATAATAATAAAAGATGTGAATATCTTAAGGTTTCATGATTATGAAATGAGTTTTCTATTAATTCATGTAAGAATGAAGTAGTTTTTATTTATATAAATCTTAGTTGTAATTATGTTTCTTTGGAGTTATCTACCTCGTGCAACAATGCAAAGCTAATAAAATAAATTATGTTTTATCTTAAATAAATCATTTTATCTAAAAAACTATTAATAAATTAAATTTTGAAATGTGTAAAATAAAAAAGAAATAACTCTTGATTCATGTAATTCAAGCTAACGACTTGAGGTGAACAAAATTGTTAACAATCTTAAATCGAGTCAAGTTTAAATTAAAAAAAATCATTTTTAAGTTAAATTGAGTTTCAAATCAAACTAAATGTTATTGAGTTAAGATGAACTGAATTGAGTTTGACTTAACTCAATTCATTTTCAACCCTAATATAAAAAATAAAATATAATATTTTTTAATTATAAAAACTAAAAAATAAGATTTGTAAAAAAAGAATTAAATGAATATTTAAATTCAATTATATTAAAAGACATAAAGTAATTTTTAATTAGTTGATACTTCATAGTCTCAAAAATTTATTATAACATATCAAAATTAAACTCTCATTTAATATTACTGTATTACTAATACTCCATCCATTTTAAAACTATTGATTATGTCTTTCTTTTTTTTTTTTCTAAAAAAATAATTGACGTTTTATAAAATTAAAGTGTCATTAATTATTTATATTTATATCATCATGCCTTATTCTACGAGTCAGGACCACTCTTATAATAAATATTATTAATAATTAATTGAATGCATATTAGACTAAATATAGTACAAGTTTATGGATAATATTAATATTTTTTAAGATGAGTGCATTAACCTTATTAAACACGTCAATAGTTTTGGACCATAAAGAGTATTATTATGATTGTATTTTTAATATAAAAAAGTATTATTAATGCAATAAA